AGAGGGAGAGTGAGAGAGGGAGGGAGGGAGGGACAGAGAGAGAGGGGGGAGAGAGAGATAGAGAGGGAGAGAGAGAGATGCGTAAACTTTTGAAGCTGCCTTATACGAAGCCAGGCCATCGATCTAACTAGCTGAGAACTGTTGACTCTGGGGTTTCAGGCAGAAAACGATCTCTCCTGCTGCCAGACCTTTTTAACTGGAGATCCCAGAGAACGAATCTGGGACCTTCTGCATGTGGCTCAGGGGCTCTTGCCACTGAGCCCTGTCTGGGGACGGTCCCAACAGCTGCTTGCTTCCAGGCTGTTCTTAAAAAGCTTTTGAGATGTGTACTCCGGTGCAGAAGAGGAGGAGTGCCCCACCTCTGAAGAATATTTTTAAAAGTTGTGTTTTTAAAAAAAAATGCCTGAAGAAAAGCATTTATCAAGTAGCAGGGCACCAACACAGAGAACAGAGGAGGGGATGGGGGATGTTCTTTCTGATGTTCTCACATTAAAGAAACATGGCTGGATAATTAAATCAGAAGCGTATTCGGCTAAACAGTAGGAAGAACTTCCTGACGGTCAGAGTGGTTCCTCAGTGGAACAGGCTTCCTCGGGAGATGGTGGACTCTCCTTCTTTGGAGGTTTTCAAACAGAGAGGAGGAGTGCCCCACCTCTGAAGAATAATTTATAAAGTTGTTTTTTAAAAAATGCCTGAAGAAAAGCATTTGTCAAGTAGCAGGGCACCAACACAGAGGAGAGAGGCGGGGATGGGAGATGTTCTTTCTGATGTTCCCACATTAAAGAAACATGGCTGGATAATTAAATCAGAAGCGTATTCGGCTAAACAGTAGGAAGAACTTCCTGACGGTCAGAGTGGTTCCTCAGTGGAACAGGCTTCCTCGGGAGATGGTGGACTCTCCTTCTTTGGAGGTTTTCAAACAGAAGCTAGGTGGCCATCTGACAGCAATGCTGGTTCTGTGAACTTAGGCAGATCATGAGCGGGAGGGCAGGAGGGGTGGCCTCAGTGCTTAGTTCTTGTGGCCCTTTCTTACACGCCCAGGGAAATGCTGGTCGCCACTTTTTTTTTTTGGGGGGGCGGGTGTCAGGGGGCTATTTTACTCCAGAC